GAGAATTAAACCATATACGTGTGAACAGCTTACAAAGGCCGGGCAGTGGAGGCAGTCCTTTTCAATATCTAAGTGTGGCAAGTTTGATGGGCTATACACAGAAGTATGTGGTATTTATGTGGATAGGAAATAACCTTGTCCTAAAAAGAAGCAATTGTGGTTTGCCATAAGCTGCAAAAGTGGGCAAGTCAAGGAATACTCAAGGAAACAAGCTATTTACTATCCGTTCAGTGATTCCCCAAAGCAATTTCTCTAATGTAACTTCAAAGGAGAGACCAGGAAATTTAGTCTTGGTCACATTAGCTGGATGTGTGGGTATGTGTTATTTTGAGAAGTTCCTATTCACATTTCAAATTAGGGGAGTTTTCTTTCCCCACTTTGTTTTAGCTATTGGCGGAGTGCTCCCACCTGGTCCTCCACCCCTTTCCAGCCACTAAAACCCTCCCACTGTCTCCTCTGAAATTCAGGATTAGTCAGTTAGCAAAATCTATTAGCCTCCATCTTTTCTCTGAAAACTCCTTTCACATCTTCATTTACAAAAAACCCGCTCTCCAATGATCACTACCTTCCCCTAGAACCCTCTCAGGTCGAAGCCCCTTTCTTTTCCACCCATCTTGTACTAGCGGGCCTGGAAATGGGGTAGGTGACGTCCGTTTTCCCTTGCTGCTCCTTAGATGCCCCCAGCCTGCTATGTCATCACATCAAACGAAAGTAGCAACTATCCCTCCTTCCTGCACTTACCTCTCAACTCCCAGGTTACTCCCCTGCAGGTTTCGAAGATTTTAGCTCCTAAATGTCACACCCTTTTGATGCTAGTTCTAACATAACTGTCTGTTTCAATATCTACACAGATGATTCTCTAATATTTTATACCTGGGCCACCACCAGCCTTTACGTCTTTGTTCAAATAAGAAAAAGCAACATATCCTCCAAGGAGTCCCAGCTCCATCCCATAACACTAGGCTGGGCAAACAGAGGGCTGCTGAATTTCAGCTGCTGCTGATGGTTGCCTTCAGGCAGGCCACTCTGACCATTCGTGACAGCCTTAAACCTAGGCTCCTTCTCTCTTTCCTCTCATCTCAGATATATATCACACAATATTGTCCTAAATTCAATTTCATGTATTCCCCTCTGACATCACCTGTCCTTCTAACCCATTTTCTCTAGAACACCAAATCAAACAATCTTTCCACCCCAAGAAGACCTCCCCCTTCATGCCATCCCTCATGTAATCCTGTCCTTACTCACCTCCACAACCACCTTAAATACCATGGAGGCTTATCCTAACTACTCCATTTCACGCATCCTGAACTCCTTTGTTCCTCCTCTCTCACTTCTTCATTCACACCTGGCAAAAATCCCAACTTTGGTCAAGTCCAACTCTGTACCTACTCTGCACTTGTAACAGTGGTCACGAACATGACTGGAAAAAAGTACAACCATGTTGTCTGGTCTCATATTAAATTCAGAATTAGCAAACTTAAGAGTATCGTTAATGCTGCCTTTTTATATATTCTCCCTGAATCTGCAAACATTTTATATATTCTCCCTGAATCTGCAAACATTTTATATATTCTCCCTGAATCTGCAAAACTACCTCCCTGGTCCTCATCCTGAGCTGAGGAACTTGTTTCCTATTTCATGGGGAAAAATGATGCAATAAGAAACACATTTCCATAAGCCCCTCCCACATACACTCACCTACCTTCATTTCTATCCAAATACCCTGACTTTTCCCTCTGCTTCCTTAGAGCACCTGTCTATACCTTAGAGCACCTGTCTATACTCCTAAATAAGGCCAATCTCTTCATCCATTTAACAGATCCCATTTCCCCACCTCTAATCAAGCACATGGCCACAGGACAACTTCCTCATTATCAAATTCTCTTCCTCAATTGGATTTTCTGCATCAGTATAAAATTATTCTCATATTTATCTCTCATAACTTTCTTTTGATTCCACTTTCCCTTCTAGCCATTTTCCCATTTCACTCCTTCCCTTTACCTCAAAAATCCTTGAAAGCATCGGCTACATTTGGCGTCTCCAATTTCTGTCCTCCCATTCTCTTAAGCCTACTCCATTCAGGCTTGTGGTCTCACCACTGGACAGAAATTGTCATTGTCAAGTTCATCAACAACCTCACAAAGCTAAATCCAATGGTTATTCTCAGTCTTCATTATAAGTTGATATATCGAAAGTATTTGAAACATTTGAGGTGCTTCCTCTCCAGAAACACTCTCTTCACTTGGTTTCCAGAACAGACAACATGCTCTCCTAACCATTTATCCTCAGTCTCATTTGTTGTAATTATTTTCCATAACTTCTCCAAGCTCTTAAAATTCAAGTACCCCTGAGCTCAGTCTTTGGGCTTCTTCTCTTTTTTATTTCCCTTCAGTTCCTTTGTAATCTCATCCAGTTTCTTGTGTTTAAATATTGTCTATAAACTGACCACTTCCAAATGTATATCTCCAGCAAAGTCTTTCCCATAAATTCAAGGCAGATAAGTCCAATTATTTAACACATTCACCATGGTGTTAAAAATGAATGTCATATTTATTTTTTTTCTTTTTTTTTAAAGATTTTATTTATTTATTTGAGAGAGAGAATGAGATAGAGAGCACGAGAGGGGAAAGGGTCAAAGGGAGAAGCAGACTTCCCCGCCGAGCAGGGAGCCCGATGCGGGACTCGATTCCGGGACTCCAGGATCATGACCTGAGCCGAAGGCAGTCGCTTAACCAACTGAGCCACCCAGGCGCCCATGAATGTCATATTTAATATGCCCAAAACTGAGCTCCTGATCAACAACCCCCTGCCCCCCAAACTAATTCACTTGCAGACTTTCCATCTAAGGTAAGACAGTGCTAATTCTTCTATTTGCTAACACTGATAATTTGGGGTTATCTCCAACTCTTTTCTTTATTTCATAACCATGTTAATTCTAGCAGCTCCTGTTGGATCTAGCTTCATATATATCCAGAATCCAATCATTTTTCAGTACACTCACTGCTACTCCTTTTATTCAAACCACCATCACCTCTTATGTAGATTATGGTGTTAACTTTCTAACTGGTCCCTCTGTTTTTGTCCTTTTTGCCCCTCTACATATATTTTTTTGTAATTAGTGCTCCTGCTATACTTTGTTCCTGCTAAAATCTAAGTGAGATCATTGTCCCTCTAGCTCAAAACCCTATAAAAGATGAACATCTCGCTCAAAGCAAAAGGCAACATCAAGGCACTATATAGTATCTGGCCCCATAACTTCTCTGACTTCATAACTCACCAGCCGCTCCTTTGCTCATTTTTGCCCTTCAACCACACTGGCCTCTTGATGTTTCTGTAACATTCCAGGCACTCTCCAGCTTCAAGGTCTTTGTAATTGCTGCTTCTTCACCTAGAACTCTTTCCCCTTAAATACCTGTTCCCTTAACTCCCTTCAGATCTTTCCTCAAATGTACTCCTCTCTCTCACTCTTATCTCATTTATTTTGCCCCATATCACTTTTTGGCACTGAATAAGCTATACATTTTACACATTTATTTTGCTTATTATCTGTCTCTCTACCAACCTAAGATCCATGAGAGATCTCTTTGTTCTTGTTTTTTTACTGCTCTAACTGCAGTGTTGAAAACAGTACACAGCACATACTAGAAGCTCAATTTACAGGTTGAGAGAGAGAGAGAGAGAGAGCACACACGTGCTCACTACAGCAGGCAGGGCTGCAAGAGGAAGGACCCGACGATTCCCCTTCATCCTCCTAAAGAGGAACTGTTTGCCCCGTTTACCAGCCCTTCCAGAAAGGCAGAAATTGCTATGCACCTGCCTTGCTCGCTCTGTAAGCACAAGGACCTGCCGGAGTTCACAGTACTACCACAACAAGGATGTGCGGTTGAGCTGAGTGTTTAAAAGGTATAAGAATAGGGACATCAAATTCAGTGAAAGTTGGTTTAAAAAAAAAAAAAAGTCTACAGAGCCAACTTCAGCCCTTTTTACAAAGAATCTGTTGTTTCCTACCTTAATTCACAACCTCTATTGCAGATCAGATAGGCACTGAAGCAAAATCAGTCTCATGGGGACTATCAGAAAGCATACCAGCTTAAAGGGCAGGAGTGTCCAGTCAGAATACAAAGACACTCCTATGGCTGTTAATAAAATGAATGGCTTTGGGCTATTACTGAAATACGATATTTCTGCAAGGATCCTTTAAGGTTTGTTTGTTTAAAGATAATTTACTGATTTCTATGAGTCTACCAACAGAGGCTTTAATGACACAGTCTTCCTCCCAAATCATGATCTGGGTCCACTTTGTGGGACTAGTGGGTAGTGTAGGAAAAAGTCCAGCAGCATTTGTGGAACAAAGATTTGTTAAAACTGCAGTACAGAAATTATACACACCAATGGAATCATAATGTAAATGTCTTAAGAACGATAAAAATGAGTTAACATGGATAGAATTCAGAGGCAGAAAATGCCCCCTTAGAATTCTGAAAGGGTCGCTCACTTTTCAAAAAAGAGTTTCACAAGAATATAACTTACTTGACCCTTGTTTCACTGTGAGGAATACTAACCCCAGACTTCCTTTACTAAGGACAAACCCAGGAAAAAAGCTATCATAAAACTACTTGTGATCACAGGAAAAAGAAATACAATCAGAGATAAAACATTAGCATTCTCTGCCTCACAAAAGAATAAAACCACTAGATACCTCCAGTAACACTTTCACCTTACAGGAGAAACATACTGATAACACTCGAGAATATTATCCAGAAAGGTCCATATTGTTAAAATAAATAAATAAATAAAACAAAAGGCAAAGAAATGCATACTTTCCTTTAGTGCCAACCTTTTGAATCAAAATTATTTGATGATGAATCTATGTAGATGGTAAAAGCTTAGAGAAGGAATTGTATCTCTAATGGTTTGGAATTCAATCAGTGAACTTCTGGAATTCTATATAACTTGTAAGACAATAAGGTTTGTATCTTGACATTTGTCACACATACCTCCATCTCCTTCTCCACTGGCGTTGGCCTCTGCCATTTCTGCGCCATCCAGTTCAGACTCACAGCCTAAATCCAATGTTCCGTCAGCCGGGCATGATGACTCCTCTTTCTATATTATTTTTTAAAAAAATGAAGACTTAATGGAGATGTACTGGCAACTCAGGGTCCTAAAGTATTACCACTGTCATTTGTGATTTGGAGTTTCAACAGATTTATTTCTTAATGTAAAATCACTCCTTAAAAACAAAAAACAAAAACTGGGAAAAGCACATTGCCACAGATGATTTTTTAGGCCTTTTAAAATCTATACAAAGTTCATTTTTGATATACATTGTTTCCTTTTTTTTTATTTCAATTCTTCCCTCTTCCTTATATTAGGAAATGGCTTCACAAGTCAGAATTTTACCAGTAAATTCAATACCCAAGTAGCTACAAACAGCAACTGAAATAATACAAGTCTTTTTAATTAACCTGTGTTATTTTCTGAAACACACACAGTGAAAAGGGTGTAATGCTTAGTAGCTGAGAAAGAACCCCTGCTTCTTTGCCAGGCATAACTTTTAGCATTAAAAACAGCCTTCTCAAAGGACATTAATGAACTTTAAATGTAATCCATCATGTATTAAAGCAGTGACTTATTTTTAACTTATAAGAAATAATACATTGATTTTATTTGTTCCAAGTTACACAACCATGTGTAGATCATCAGCTTTTATCCTCTGGAATTTTGCATCTTAGATAGCATTTCCCATTCTAGTTGGGAATGGGATTATACTAAAATAATTAAGACTCCATTATCTGAAGCTTTTTATTTCATTTCTCTATTCTCACACAACAAGTATGCATTATTTAAAATTCCCTTGATATTACTGTCTTAAAATTGAACGATTAATTTAAATCAGCAACTTTTCAAGAAGAATGGATAAATTTATTTTTATAAAAGACAGAAAGGCATACAGGTGTGAAGCCTGTATATCAACTGATGGTCATTAAGTCAAATAGTTTACAGCAACTGTGATCATCTTAAGCTCTTGGCTGATGATTCATGGCACTCCTCCATGTAAATTTTTAAGAATCAAGAATTTTAAGGAAGCCACAACTATTTTCCGTTACCATATGTTAGAGTGAAACCACAGATATGCTTTCCTTGAAGAAAAATGTCATTGTTTATTCTTAATATGAAATCATTTTTAAGACATCTGAAAACATTTAAAAGGCACAGGGGTCATTTTTCTACCCTTCACCCTAATCTAATTTTGTTTACCTTCACGTGTCTGAAAAAATGCATGATACACAGTAATAACAGACATAATATGCAGAACAATCCAACTTACTTTGAGAGCATAAAGGCCTGACTTTCCAGGGATTTTGAAGAATGTTCCATCCCCTATTCGAGTGTTAGTGTGAAGCATTGCATTCAGACAGGCTAATGGAGAAGTTCCACTAGAAAATAAAAGTGTGCAAAAATGAAGCAATCTGAGATGCAGTTTCTGTGGCAAAACTGTGCTCTCAGTCTCTCTCTCAAAATAAAAAAAAAAAAAAAGACCTTCTCACATGCCTTTTTAAAATATCCTCCCAACCCCGAAAACATCTACATTACAATAACAGGCCAGTCCAGTTTTGCCAAAGTTAATCAGATGCATCTGTCTTATAGGCTTCAGGCAAAAAGTCTCCTGAATTGAAATTATGCTTTTATTCATAAAGCAACCAACACTCTGTTTCAAAGAAACCAAAGCCCAAACGTTTATGTGCTGTTATTTTACAAATAATACCATGAAGCCTCAGTTTTTAAATATTACAGACAACTTGATGGTTGCACTTGAATGATCAAATAAACCAAGTTCAAGGACAGCCCCATCCTATAGGTTGACAAGCAACAAAAGAATAATAAGAAACCAGGGAAGAACTGATTTGAAATTACAAGTGTTTAAGTTACTCACAGGATTGCATTTCTCACACGGCCAAATAAAAAACCTGTATCTGTGTTTATACCTGATACAGTTTCTACAATGACATCATTTTCTCAGATTTGTCAATAAAAAAATAATAATGTTTGGGAATTCTGCCCAGCTTTATGTTCTGTAGTAAAGATGTAAGTGACTGAATTATGAAAATAGATTTTTTAAAGAAATCAACTGGCATTAAATGATTAAAAATTTCAAAGCACATTTGTACAAACATTGAATTGTATTCATTATACCTAGAAAGATGTTTGTAAAATGTATATGTTATGTATTTTCTGGGGTTGACTTTAGAAACTTTTTTTTTTTTGCAAACTAATATTTTTTGCAAACTAGAATTATAGCCAGAATTATTACTTTCATTTACTTACCCTTCCATGTACATTTTACTTCCTAATATGCTAAAAGATCAATATTTGGTTGAACCAATATTGAGTAGAAGCCCTACTCCACCCCATTTGTGTCTTAGGGGTTCTGAATATTTAACCCAAAATATTCTCAGATAAGATTATGGACCTCTAGGATATTAAGGTTTGAATTTCCCAACATAATTTTATGTTACTAAATTAAGAGTTTCTAAAAACAAAAACTAAGAAATCTCTTACCTACTATGAAAACTTACCAAATACAATGAAAAAAGCCCAATCTGCTGAATTGGAGATAGATAGATAGATAGATAGATAGATAGATAGATAGATAGATAGATAGATAGATAAATGATAGGTATCTCCAGTGTATGTATGTGTACACACACACATAGACACACATATATACACATATGTGTGTGCATATATATATATGTGTGTGTGTGTTTATATACCATACATATATATGGCATAGAAACTCATCATGGTCATAAAGGTTTATGAGTATTATAATAATAACACTATTATCTTAGGAAGCAGCTTCTCTGTGCCAACATGTCCGTATGATCCCGATGGATCTGACAGGAAGCAAGTGCCCTAATATGAATGTGGTCAGAGAACAACGTAGTGATAACACTAAATAAAGTATATATGGTAATTGCACTGTGTGCACTTATGTAATATCTTTCCCCGTGAAGCTTCTCCAAGTTTACAGATCTCGTTTCATTATTTTTCCTTGCAAAAGATTTTCCGCTCATATTTCAAGTGGGCCAGGCATACCTTATACAGCAAAATATATTCATCTCCCCCAGAAATATCTGTCTATGAACAAATTCCAGATAAATAATGCTGTACATGTTATGTTGAGCACTCCAAAATACCTATTTTTGTCATTTTCTCTTAGATAAAAGCACAGACAATTTGAAGCTGGGAAATTATTATGCCAGATTTGTGGAGTTTTAATTTAGTGAAACTGTCAGAAACACAGACTTTCTGTAGGGACTTGGCAAGAAAATGTTAACACTACAAGTAAAATAGAATCCAATACATAAAAATGAAAGAATGTAGACTTTCAAAAATATAACAATAAAATTGCCCACCTAAAATCAAACCTCACACACATTCTTCCTGCTTTTTTCCTAAAGTCCTAACACAGATTTAGAATATAAAAGAATAATACAGATTTCAAGACAACTAAAAAATGCTGAACAAATATAATTTAGCATCACTATAATTTTCTTTCTAAGGTACAGTAAATGAAAGATAATTGTAGAAGATAAATTGACTATTAAGTAGAAGTTTAATGCTGTGCTTGCTGCAAATATAAGTGATAAGCACCTAGTTTCATATAAATAATAAACTCTGTTCAGCATGAATATATTATTAAATTATACTGTTTATTAATTCCATAAACTCAAGATTTACTATGGAAATATTTAAAAATATGTATTTCACAATCACATGACAGTTATCCCAAGTCTCAATAATCACTATAATTCTCTCAAATCTTTCCCAAAACAAACATATGAAATTTGTTTTATTTCAAAACTAAACATGTGCATTTTAGAAGAATTAGAAAATATTTTGCAACGAAATGCAAATTTTACACCTCAAATCACTGGCTAATACTTAGTTATAAGCATATCACCTGCATTTCTTAACAGAAAAAAATATCATATGGTTCATTTTATTTAAAAACAATAAAACACTAGCATCAATAGAGTTAAATACTTAATAAAGGGTAACTGTTTCATCCAATGCAGAATACACATAGGAAAATGAATTTTTTAAAGGTTTTTCATACCATTTACTTATTGCTATTCTCAACAACCCCATACAGTCTAGAAAATTTGGATTGCTTTTCCTGAAGAAATGGATGTCTTAATGAACTGCTATTGAACAGTAATAAATAAAAGTCTTATTAAAAAAATTTTATTATTTTCATATTCAAAAAAACCTAGAAAGTATGCCTTGGCCCATTTTAAGGAAAATATACTTATATTCATACATATTTAAATACGTTTATATATGAATATATATTACAATGACTTACTGTGCGTATGAAAGAAGGTGAGGCAAATATATGTGAAAAGTGTATTCTTATATAGCATGAACACCTTCTATGTAGCAATTCATATTTTTAATGAATTAAAAATATTTCATTCACAGTTAAGGCAAGGGTAATTAATTACCTCAATTGGAATTTAAAAGTTAAAAATTCTGTAATAAAATATGTGTATGTGTATATGTATACCTGAAATAATAAGCATCAACATTTTAACAACAACAAAAATCTCTGAACTTTCAAAAGTTACTTACTTTCTAAAAAGATGAGTTGGAAGAATCATGGTGTCCCAAATTTTAAAAGGAAAACCAAGAAAAAAGGAAGAAAAAGAAAGTTAGTTTTCCAACTTAGACTGCAATTCTGCATCTTATCATTTCAATAAACAGGAAAATATACAAGAAACACACCAATCTTGCAGATTTGGCTGCCAATGGGGAGGAAAAACCGGGGAGCTGGGGTAAAAGGCAACTCGTACTTCCTTCCCTAATGCCTCTACCATGTTTTCATTTTGTATGCAATGCACATGTATTTCTATATCAGGGATATAATTAGAAATAAACAAGAAAGACAATATTTGTCTCTGATTCTTTTCTTTCTACCGTTCTCTGTAATTGGGCCCTTTCCTATACACCTGCCAGGGTAGATATACAGCTTATTCTACTTGTTTGTTTTTCTCCCTAGACTGTAGGGTTGTGGAACCCTTCTGGTTTGTTTTCATTTCCCACAACCCCTGAAGCAGAACAGGGGTGGAATTTGGAGGCAGGGGAGCAGGCATAATTTAAACTGTCTAGACATCAAAGAACCCCCAGAGATGCTTTGCAGAGCCCTGGTGCTGTGTGAACTACAGAAAAACCATTGCTTTATCACATCAAATTGCTGACAGAACACATAAAATTTTACTAATAGTGCACACTTAGTGAAGGGAATGGATGGCTTATCTATTTTAATAATTTTAAAAACCACAAAAAATACCCAGGGAATGCAATTGGAAGAAAATTTATAGACATGACAAAGAAAATATCATAAGTGTGGTCCTTCATTCCTTTATGTATAAAATAATAATGCCGTACAATATTTTTAAGTAACCCAAATTATTAACTACTTTATTTTACCAAGTATCTCTTAAAAATGTCAAATGAGGGGCGCCTGGGTGGCTCAGTCGTTAAGCGTCTGCCTTCAGCTCAGGTCATGATCCCAGGGTCCTGGGATCGAGCCCCACATCGGGCTCCCTGCTCAGCGGGAAGCCTGCTTCTCCCTCTCCCACTGCCCCTGCTTGTGCTCTCTCTCTCGCTGTCTCTCTCTCTCTGTCAAATAAATAAAATGTTTTTAAAAAAATGTCAAATGAAAGCTTTTCCCCAAAACATTTTTAATCTCATTTTTCAAATATGGGAACATCAAAAAATTAATCCTGAACAATGTAAGTCTAAAAACTCAACAAATGCAAGAAGCAACTGTTAAGCAGCATTTATTGTGTTATTAAGTTATGGTGCTAATTGCTATTAATATAAATTAATAGAAACAATCATATGTTTACTCTCCTTTCAAAAAAATTCATAATAGCTCCTTTCAAGTATTTCCAGTGTTGATGGCTTAGAGAAAATATCTTAACTATAAAGGATATATTTTTAAGAGGAAACTATGTGAGTCTCTGGTGTGCAGGTAATATTTTAGTTCTTGATGGCAGATCTTTGTGTTTGCTATGTGAAAATCTAATGTGTTTACTTAGGATTTGTGCATCTAACTCTTGTATATGTTTTACTTAACTAAAATGTTTTTAGAAAATGTTAAAAAAAATGAGCAATGCATTCTTGGGTTTGTCTATTTATTTACATCTTTAATGGGCAGGTCATTACTAGTGGAGAAGAATAAACTATTTCTACCAGTGAGTGTGATGGCTCCTTAACACATATAGGCACAGTGTACATCCATTGATCAGTCAGTAACCTAGATGATTAAAAAACATTCTAGAAAGGCAAGGCCAAACTAACTTCTTACTCTGAGAAAAATTACCACTAGTCTGGAACTCTTGAGAATGACTGAAAATAAAAACTT